TGTTTTATACCCACAGATACATAAATATGTATTTGTGTGTGGTTTTTCTTTTTCACTTCAAATTGAAATGGTTTGAGACCTTTCAAGAATGCACAGAGAAAGCATGAAGGGAAGTGGGTGGAGACCATTTGATGGTATTCACCACCTCAGTGTTACAGTTGGGTTGTCTCACAGCTGACATTGCTAGCAACCAGGATGTTTTTAAACCATTTGAGTGTTTCCTATTACTTTCATTATTCTCCATGTATTGTTTAATTTACACCTTTTGTATCTGTTGCTTTAAAGACAAGAAGTAAAAAGAATATGAATATTTAAAAACAAGCCAGTAAGGAGTCTTAAAATGATAATAAAGAAATAGAGGAAAACAACAGAATGGGAAAGACTAGAGATCTCGTCAAGAAAATGAGAGATACCAAGGGAACATTTCATCCAAAGATGGGCTCAATAAAGGACAGAAATGGTATGGACCTAAAAGAAGCAGAAGATATTAAGAAGAGGTGGCAAGAATACACAGAAGAACTATACAAAAAAGAACTTCGCAACTCAGATGAGCAGGATGGTGTGATCACTCACCTAGAGCCAGACATCCTGGAATGTGAAGTCAAGTAGGCCTTAGGAAGTATCACTACGAACAAAGCTAGTGGAGGTGATGGAATTCCAGTTGAGCTATTTCAAATCCTAAAAGATGCTGTGAAAGTGCTACACTCAATATGTCAGCAAATTTGGAAAACTCAGCAGTGGCCATGGTACTGGAAAAGGTTAGTTTTCATCCCAATCCCAAAGAAAGGCAATCCCAAAGAATGCTCAAACTACCACACAATTGCACTCATCTCACACACTAGTAAAGTAATGCTCAAAATTCTCCAAGCTAGGCTTCAGCAATACGTGAACCATGAGCTTCCAGATGTTCAAGCTGGTTTTAGAAAAGGCAGAGGAACCAGAGATCAAATTGGCAACATCTGTTGGATTATCAAGAAAGCAAGAGAGTTCCAGAAAAACATCTATTTCTGCCTTATTGACTATGCCAAAGCCTTTGACTGTGTGGATCACAGCAAACTATGGAAAATTCTGAAAGAGGTGGGAATACCAGACCACCTGACCTGCCTCTTGAGAAACCTATACGCAGGTCAGGAAGCAACGGTTAGAACTGGACATGGAACAACAGACTGGTTCCAAATAGGAAAAGGAGTACGTCAAGGCTGTATATTGTCACCCTGCTTATTTAACTTCTATGCAGAGTACATCATGAGAAACCCTGGGCTGGAGGAAGCACAAGCTGGAATCAAGATTGCTGGGAGAAATATCAGTACCCTGATATGCAGATGACAGCACACTTATGGCAGAAAGTGAAGAGGAACTAAAGAGCCTCTTGATGAAAGTGAAAGAGGAGAGTGAAAAAGTTGGCTTAAAGCTTAACATTCAGAAAACTAAGATCATGGCATCTGGTCCCATTACTTCATGGCAAATAGATGGGGAAACAGTGGAAACAGAGGCTGACTTTATTTTTCTTGGCTCCAAAAATCACTGCAGATTGTGACTGCAGCCATGAAATTAAAAGACGCTTACTCCTTGGAAGGAAAGTTATGACCAACCTAGACAGCATATTAAAAAGCAGAGACATTACTTTGCCAACAAAGGTCCGTCTGATCAAGGCTATGGTTTTTCCAGTGGTCATGTATGGATGTGAGAGTTGGACTGTGAAGAAAGCTGAGCACCGAAGAATTGATGCTTTTGAACTGTGGTGTTTGAGAAGACTCTTGAGAGTCCCTTGGACTGCAAGGAGATCCAACAGTCCATCCTAAAGGAGATCAGTCCTGGGTATTCATTGGAAGGACTGATGTTGAAGCTGAAACTCCAATACTTTGGCCACCTGATGTGAAGAGCTATCTCATTTGAAAAGACCCTGATGCTGGAAAAGATTGAGGGCAGGAGGAGAAGGGGACGTCAGAGGATGAGATGGTTGGATGGCATCACTGACTCAATGGACATGAATCTGGGTAAATTCCGGGAGTTGGTGATGAACAGGGAGGCCTGGCGTCCTGCAGTTCATAGGGTTGCAAAGAATCAGACATGACTAAGCAACTGAACTGAACTGAACTGAATTCTAAAAATTCACCTCAAAATACTATTCATCAGATTTTTAACAGATATTCATCTCATTAAAATTCTGTTTTCTTTCTTTGGCCACGTAAAACAGCTTGCAGGATCCTATTTCCTTCACCAGGGACTGAACCCAGGCCCTGGCAGCAGAAGTGTGGAGTCTTAGCCACTGGACCACCAGGGAACTCCCAAAATGCTTGTATCACACATCAAGATGTCTCTTGTACATGAGAAATCAGTAAAACACATACAGTGGACATTTTATCCAATTACTTTTTTTAGCAACTGGGGATAAAGACAACCTATTGTTTGAGGGGAAGAATAAAAACCTGCAAAACTCAGCCTGATACCTCTTATTTATATGTACACAAAATTCTAAGAATAAGTTAATAGATTATTTTACATGCAAACCAAATATTAAGTCATGAAAATTGTCTCTTGAAATGGTAAGATATAGTCAAATTTATATATTTTTAAAAATATATATTCTCTCCCCAAACTAGACACAACATAAAAATTATTCTTAAGCTTGTTTATCAAGAAATCTTCTTTCTCCTACACAAGATAAATTAAATAGCATGTATCTACAGTCAGATGGAAAAGTGAAAATTTATCATGAAAAAGTATTAGTCACTCAGTTGTGTCCAACTCTTTGAGACCCCATGGACTATAGCTCACCAGGGTTCTCTGTCTGTGGAATTCTCCAGGCAAGAGTACTGGAGTGGGTAGCTATTCCCTTCTTTAGGGAATCTTCCCAAGCCAGAGATCGAACCTGGGTGTCTTGCATTGCAGGCAGATTCTTTACTATGTTAATATGAATAATATTAAAACCATTTAAAATTAATTTCATAATAAACCTTTAATAATATGATGATAATTAATCCTGAATATTCATTGGAAGGACTGATGCTGAAGCTGAAACTCCAATACTTTGACCACCTGATGTGAAGATCTGACTCACTAGAAAAGACCCTGATGCTGGGAAAGATTGAAGGCGGGAGGAGAAGGGGATGACAGAGGATGAGATGGTTAGATGGCATCACTGACTCAGTGAACATGAGTTTGAGTAAGCTCTGGGAGTTGGTGATGGCCAGGGAAGCCTGGCGTGCTGCAGTCCATGGGGTAAGAAAGAGCAGGACATGACTGAGCAACTGAACTGAATATGATGATCTATACTAAAATGTTTTACTTAAATTTTCTTCTTTATCATGCTACAGCAAAACATCAAGATGATTAAGGGAGTCTGCAAAATTATGTGTTACAGTGAAAGAGATTTGGAGTCAAAAATCAGGAAGTATTAGACCATGGGGATAATCTCTGTAATCAGTTATTTGAAGTGAAGTGAAAGTCGCTCAGTCTTGTCCGATCTTTGTGACCCCATGGACTGTATAGTCCATGGAATTCTCCAGACCAGAATACTGGTGTGGGTAGCCTATCTCTTCTCCAGGGGATCTTCCCAATCCAGGGATCAAACCCAGGTCTCCTGCATTGCAGGCAGATTCTTTACCAGCTAAGCCACAAGGGCAGCCCCTTGAAGCATTCTCAAAAAAGGTTTGTGAGAGTTAAAAACGTGTGTTACTAGCAAAATCTTACTTCTTACTGTTCCTTGGGAATTACCCTCCAGTTTGACTAAGCAGGAAAGACAATTTAAGATGCAGGTGCCAGAGTGCTAAGTTGTTTCAGTCATGTCTGACTCTTTGCAACCGTATGGACTGTAGCCCACCAGGCTCCTCTGTCCATGGGATTCTCTAGGCAAGAGTACTGGAGTGGGTTGCCATGCCCTCTCCAGGGGATCTTGCCAACCCAGGGATCAAATCCATGACTTCTGTGTCTCCTTCATTGGCAGATGGGTTCTTTACCACTAGCGCCACCTGGGAAGTCCTTTAAAATGTGCATTCTCTGTTTAAATCAGGATGCATTTCAGTCAGTAACATCTTAGGATAGCCATCAACCATGCTGCAGTTGTGACTACAGTTACCCTTGTGTGTGTGTGGACATCAAACATGTCAGCATCAAAACCTGCTGAATGGGGAGTCAGTGACTTTGAAGACAGGAGAGCTTTATATCTTTATTTATTTTTTAACTCTTAGGAACCAAATGGTTGTGTAGAATAAGTGAATCAGACATGTTTAGCAATATTTTTTAAGCTGGAGTCAAAAATGTAACTTGTAATTGCAAGGTCAGCCTAGGAGCCCAGCACCAATAACTCTTAGTTCTTTTATTTTAAGAAATAAGGATTATTTTAAGAAATGCTATATCATCGAACTCCTGGACAATACCATCAAAGGACAATATCATGAATAAACACAGACGTTAAACAGTCTGAGTCAAATGCTGAATGTGAGAAAGTTTGACAAGTACCTAAATCAATTTCTTTCATTTAACATTTTTCATTGTACAAATATGATAGTTGATGAAATAATCTGTCTGATTAAATTTGTAACAGCCCTTTCAATGAGTATAAAAGAAAGATTCTGATCATGTCATAGTTTAACTTATGGGTTTTTGGGGGGGTTTTTTTTTTGGTTTCTTAAAAGTACATACAATAATGATGCTTCTTAGAATGATAGCTCCTTAGATTCAGTGAAAGAGGGTATTCAGTTTGGGGATTCGGTACTTTCTCCATCTCTCATAAAATAGTTAATGAGCTTGAATGAATTAAAATATTTGCTATCTATACTGTGATCCTAAATGACCAATGCATTCCATTTTAACAAAAAGCTGCCAGCTGTTCTTATCTTTGTTTAACATAGGGACTTTTTTTGCCAAGACTTTTCATAGTGCATGGCCCATATTTAATTATCCTCAAAATATTTCTGAAGAGATGAAATGCTAGTAGTTCAGTTTTGCATGTATGGTTTCCTTGAAAGTATTGGGTTGACTCTTATTTCCTTTGTTAGGGGTGCAGGCTGCATCTTTATTGAAATGTTCCAGGGTCAACCCTTGTTTCCTGGGGTTTCCAACATCCTTGAACAGCTGGAGAAGATCTGGGAAGTAAGAGAAGAATTCCTCTTAGGAAAAAAAAAATATATATGCATATAAAACTTTGAACCAAATTTGCATTGGAAACAAATGAAGCAGCCCATCTGCTTTGAGAGATTAAGCCATATTTTGAGGTTGTGGAAACTGTGGTGCTTGCCAGGGGCTTAAGCACCTGGGAAATGAGTGGTCAGGAACCCACCCCTTTTGTCCAATGGGTGCCCTTGAATCCTCCTGCTCCCGATGACTATTACCTCAACATCCCAGGGCAATTTCTGCCATTACTAATTAAACACATCCCTTCCCTGCAGCCCCCAGTTCTAATTCTACCACATATTTGGCCATGGATCTTTGTCAACTGAAGATAAAACACTAAATTTTCACAGAGCCCTGATAAAACAAAATGTTAGCTTTCCATGTTAGTGTGAGAGAAATATACTACTTATGCTGCTCCTCCAAAACTAGATTTCTAAGGTGACAGGATGCTTATGTATGTGAGTTTCCACTTCTTTATTCACTATTTATCCCTCTCTCTGTTGCACCATTGGGGCTTCCCTGGTGGCTCAGTGGTAAAGAATCTGCCTGCAATGCAGGAAACCTGGATTCGATCCCTGGGTTGGGAAGAGCTCCTGAAGGCTGGCGGACTATAGTCCATAGATAGAGTTGCAAAGAGTCAAACACGACTGAAGCAACTTAGCATGCACATGCATGAAGTTGCACATTATGTACTTCATTTTTATGTCCCTTGTAGCTTATAGTTTTGGCTTTCCCTGGTGGCTCAGTGGTAAAGAATTCGCTTGCCAATGCAGGAGATGACAGTTTGATCCCTGGGTTAGGAAGATCCCCTGGAGAAGAAAATGGCAACCCACTCTAGTATTCTTGTCTGGGAAATCCCAAGGATAGAAGATCCTGGCAGGCTACAGTCCATGGGGTCACAAAAGAGTTGGACGCGACTTAGTGACTAAACAACAACAGCGATAGTCATTTACATATGGTTCTCTTTTTCTGATGATTTTTAAATTGTGGTTAAATATATATATTGCATAAAATTTACCATTCTAACCACTTTTAAAAGTACAGTTCATAACATTAAATACATTCACCTTGCTGTGCAACCCTCACCACATCCATTTCCAAAACTTTTCATCATCCCCAACAGCAGTTCTGTATCCATTCAACCAGCCCCCCATTTTCCTGCCCCTAGCCACTGGTAACCTCTCATCTACATTCTGTCTGTATGAAATTGCCCATTCTAGGTTTTCATGTAAGTGGAATCATACAGTATTTGTCCTTTGTGTCTGGCTTGTTTCACTTAGCATAATGTTTTCAAGGTCCATCCGTATTGTAGCATGTATCAAGTACTTTAAACTAGGGTGGGGAGGGTATTCCTTGTATCCTGGATTCTGCTTCCTTTCAAGTTTGCTTGTTTCAACTAAGCATCTAGAGCATTCTTGCTAACAGCCTCCCAATCAGGTATCTTGGAAAATAATGCAAAGCGGGATTTTTGTGTGCAGATGAGGAAACTTAACTTTTCTCGAACTCTTCATGATTTTTATTTAATGTCACCAAACATTTTGCCTTGCAGGAATAATATAAAATGTCATTTTTGAATTATGTTTCCACTGTGGAGTCCTTCATTTATCAAAAATTTTAAGAAGCTGGGGACTTCTCTGGTGGTCCAGTGGCTAAGACCCTGTGCTTCCAATGCAGGGAGCCCAGGTTTGACCCCTGTTCAGGGACTTAGATCTCACATGTCACAACAAAAGACCCATTGTGCTGCACCTGAGACCTGGCACAGACAAATAAATAAAAATAAGTAAATAAACATTTGTTAAAGCTCATGTGAAAAACGCTTATATCATTTTTTTTAAGTTGAATTTTCCCAAATGAAGGTGAAGATAATCCTCAGGAAACTTTTAGGAAAAGGGAAGAGTTAGTTGCTAGTGTCTGGAGGGCCAATGACTCATATTTATGAAGATATTCTGTGCAAACCAGGCTAGTGCTACAGATTCATGACCCAGAAAACACAGTGGTTTGTGAATGCTAAAATAAAATGTCCTTTGTGAAATTCAGATATTTTATAGAGACTAATCGCTGCCATTAAGCTTTCTTTTGGAAGCATGGAGGATATAATGGAGGAACACAGGACAAATTGGGAAACATTCACAAACTAAAAAACATTTCAAGCCAGAAGATTTTTTTTTTCTGAAAATTTCCCTGCAAGACCGATAAATGCTACCTTCCAAAAGTATCATTGGGTTCCATAACATCATCTAAGCTGGAGGTAGCCTAATGTAAATAACAGCTTTCAAGTTGAACATTTGAATTCTAGCCAGTTTTCAGCTACATGAACGTGTGCAAGTTACACAGTGCCTCTGAGCTTCAGTTTCCTCTTTTGTTACATGGGGCTAGTGATAATGATTTTATAACCTTGCTGTGAGAATTTTAAAAGATCACATGAATATCAAGCACCATGAGACGTAAGTACTCAACAAATGTTTGCTGTTTTTCTCTCTCGGAGAAATTATTTTTGTAGCGATGTTTCAAAGACCAATCAAACTGTTGACAGGCATTTCCTAATATTTAACCTAATTGTTCTATTCTCTCTGTTAGTTTCTTGTCCACATTAGAGGAAGCACAATTAACACTGCCTAGATCTGACCCTGTAGTGATCTCTTATACACTTGAGAAGTTTTTCCCATTCATTTAATCAGGAAGCAATATCATTGGGTACTCATTATCTTATAAGATGTTACAAGACATTGGAAAAATAGAAAGAATAGGAAAAATGCATCATCTGTGCTTTCAACTATTGTCCAGTCTAGATGGGGTGATGGGTGGTATATAAGTAAATACATGCAAAACAAACATGAACTATGTATAGGTGCAAAAGGTGTATGTTTAACTAGATAGTAAATAACAATTATAATAGTGAGATAAGGTATCCCATTAGGATATTTGAAAAGTTGTATATAAATTGGTTTTCTTAAACATGATTTCCTGTTTTTAAATGAATTGTGTTCTTAAAGCAATCATTTTATGGTTCTTTGCCTTTAGTGTAGCTCTTAGAGGTCATAGAGCAGAAAGAATGAGTTATGACACTTTCCAGAATCTGATGGTTTTCTAGGTATTGGTTCAGGTTTCCAGGACTGGTCTTGGTGACTGTCCCTGGCCATCTGAAGGTTGTTTTAGGTATTAATAACTCAGTAAGTGAGAAGTCTAGACTTGTATCTGCACATAAAATACCCAAACATGAGTGATGCAACCAAAACAAGTGCATCTTAACAAATGGGTCCCACAGGTCTTACCCAGGAAGCCATGTTCATGTCTAACATTATGCTTATCACACTGCAGTAAATCAGAAGGACTTTATTTTTACATTTATGACAACTCATTACCAATTTAAAACTAGTAAACACATTACAAATAACACTGGCATGATGTTAGAGTCACGAGTTCAGAACTCAGCTCTAACTTCAGGTTAGGAGGTAAAGCAAGTCTCATGACCTAACTTCTTGGCTTTTTAGTATCTTCTGGTGTATTTGGTTTTCTGACTCCTGGAATTGTGACCTCTTTGAACAAAGTGTTATGAGAATATTGTAGCTCCTATCATTTTTAATTATAACATTCTTCTCTGCTTATTAAGTCTCCCCCTCCTCCACTTCAGAAGTCATTTCTCAAGCTTAGAGGCTATGGGGTCGCACAGAGTCAGACACGACTGAAGTGACTTCGCAGCAGCAGCTGCAGCTCATCGTTGAGCTTCAGACTGTGCTGATCAGGAGATAGTTCCATACTGCTTGGCTCTCTTTATAGGGCACCAGGAGGTCAGATTCATTACGTCTCATTTCCCCCCTTCTTCTGTCCAAGCAGGTAGAGACCCCAGTTTTGTTACCACATCTATAGTTTCCTGCTCTGAGAACAAGGAAGAAACATATTCATCAGTGTGTTGTCTATTATACTATTACATCCCAAGTAGCTTGGAAATTCAAACACTACAAATGGCTCCTGAATTGGGTTTTACTAAAAATAGTATGCTGCTACTAAGTCACTTCAGTCGTGTCCGACTCTGTGCCACCCCCCATACGGCAGCCCACCAGGCTCCGCCGTCCCTGGGATTCTCCAGGCAAGAACACTGGAGTGGGTTGCCATTTCCTTCTCCAGTGCATGAAAGTAAAAAGGGAAACTGAAGTCACTCAGTAATGTCCAACTCTTCGCGACCACATGGACTGCAGCCCACCAGGCTCCTCCGCCCATGGGATTTTCCAGGCAAGAGTACTGGAGTGGGGTGCCATTGCCTTCTCCAAAAAATTGTATACATAGACAAAAAGGGAAAGCTGCTTCAGGCTCTGTGATAGTTGATGTAGGGACTAGTGGATCTCTCCCAACCTCTAATCACAACTTTTCTTTACATTTATTCTAAGATCTCATTCTTGAGAAGTCCTGAATCTTTATTTTATCATCTTTCTGAAATACCCCTAGGTATGTGTGTATGTTTACACTTGAATGGCTGTCATCAATTTTTGACCAATTTTTTAGAAATCTAATTCTTTCAATAAATATTTTTAGCAAATAATACCGGATGTAGCTCTAAAATCAAAATAAAATAAACTATGCAGACTTTAAAGCCATTAATCAAAATGCCTTCAGTTTCCATTTCAACAAAGGCGGAAAACAGCCTCTGCAACCCATGGTGGTTTCAAAGAGAGCACTCACTAACTGCCTTTTAAGAGCCTTCAGGGAGAGAGTAAATCAACTATTTTTGGTTTTCAGTTTCCCAGTCAGTGAAGTGGAGATTTAGTAATTTTCTCAAGTGAAAATAAACTCAATAATTTTCAAATAAAAACTGAGCATCAAATTTCCAAATAAAGGATATTGAATTTTTGTTTAAACTTTCAAAATCTCAAAGCTTAAAGCTTTTAGCACAATATTCTAAAATTGTTGGTGTCCATTGTCGGCTTTAATTACACAATAATACAAAGTAACCCAATAATTCTGGTAACTTTTGCCTTAGAGAAAATATGGATGCGGTCATTATTTATCTCCTTTATTGCATTCTCTTCATTATCTTTGCCTTCATGTCATTTTCTTGCCAGGCAACAGAAGATGTAGGGGTATTTTTGAGTCATTCTGCCCACTTGTTTACACACATATCTGTGCAAATACATAAGATGGCACTTTAGCAAAGAAGAATTAACCCCCCATCCTTTGGCCCTCTCCCACAAAAGAATAATTAGTCCAGTTGGTTTTTCAAAATGGATTCCAGGATTCTCAGTGTTCCCTCTGGCTCAGGGTGGCTGATAGGAAAAGCTCATAATCCTCTCAGTAGCTTTTCAATTTGTTTAGGGAATGGATCAAAGAAAGAAGCTTCTGCTAGGTGGCTTAATTTTTTTTATTATTGTATGAGGGAAAATGGCACTTTGGTGTCTTTTGTTTGAGGACAAGTTTAACAGGCACCGCAAAGTATACTTCTCAGCCAGAGTCCTAGTCGGTTAACTGGTAGATATTAAGAGGCTTCCAGATTCCTCATCAGTTTTTATCAGTCGAGTCTTCCCAGGTGGTGCAATGATAAAGGATCTACTGCCAGTGCAAGAGGCACAAGAGACACAGGTTCGTTCCCTAGGTTGGTAAGGTCACCGGGAGTAGGAAATCAGTAATTGTTGGGCAATTGACTTCCTGCCATAACAATTGGGCCAGCATCTGTCTCCAGCATTTTACAAATGGATTCCCTAGGCTTCTTCTATGAGAGATGCTAATAAAAAGACTTGTATTGAGGTATGCTTCCCAGAAGAGCTATATTGTAGTGGTGTATGAAAGCTACTCATGTTTTATTAGTATTTCACAAAAACAATATTATTCTAGCTCCCAACTGACATTGAGCATTTATGATTATCTTAAAAGAATAGTAAGGTTTTGTCTATAAGGGAACTCAGAGTAACAGAATCATTTAAAATCTGAAGTGTTTTGACTTTAAATTCCAAAAGATTTTTCTTTTCATAGTAATTAAAAAGTAAAGCTTCAGTTTAGTAATTCAAAGCATAAGCGAGCTCTTTTTCAAGCAATGTTGTTACTATTATGATCCACCAGTTAAAAATCAAATACTATATTCCAAACTGCTGGGCCACAGAGGAGAGAAGCAGATAAGATGAATTCAGTAGAAAAGACTAGGGTTAGGTTTAGGATCATTTTTAGCCAACATTCCACTGCCTAAAGGTCAGTAATCTGAATCCCTTTTAATTTGAGCACATTGGTGAACAGCTGAATGCCCATGCTGAGGCATAATTTAAACTGCCAAGTGTCTCCCTGTTGAGATATATATATATATACAGAGAGTTATCTGATGTAAGGCCAAGGGACACTTTACCACTCAACATCTTTCTATATTTCCAGCTCCAAAGATAGCATCCCAGTGTATGGTGATCATCCACTGCATACAGTAGACATACTTTGTTTTACTGTGCTTTACTTTATTGCACTTTGCAGACATTGCTTTTTAAAAACAAATTGAAGGTTTGCAGCAATGCTGCTTGTCAGATGATGGGTAGCAATTTTTTAGCAAGGAAGCATTTTTTTAAATTAAGGTGTGCACATTAGTTTTTAAATGAAGGTATGCACATTGCTCTGTCACACACTTAATAGACCATAGTAGAGTGTAAACATAACTTTTATATATACTGGGAAACCAAAATATTTGTGTGACTCACATTATTGCAGTATTAGCTTTATTTTCGTGGTCTGGAATTAAACCCAAAATATCTCTGAGGTATGCCTGTAGATATTTAGGGATAAGAATATGACTTTAAGTAAGGTTATATGATCTGTATTAGTCAGGGTTCCCCACAGAAAGAGAACCAATGGGAGATATGGAGGGGTGTGTGTGTGTGTATACACATGAGTCAATTCCCATGATATTTTATATACATATATATATGTGTGTTATAGTGATTTATCATGGGAATTGGCTCATTTGATTTCATGGAGGCTGAGATATGTCCTCTGCAAGCTGGAAAACCAGGAAAGCTGGTGGTATAAGTCAGTTTAAGGGGGCCACTGGTATAAATCCCATAATCTGAAGACCAGAGAACTAGGAGCTCCAAAGGCAAGAGAAGATGGATGTCCCAGCTCAAAAAGAGAGACAAAAAATTTGTGCTTCCTCCACTCGTTCTATTCAGGCCCTCTACAAATTGGATGATGCCACCCAAATTGGTGAGGGCAGTTCTCTTTATTCTGTCTACTGATTCAAATACTAATCTCTTCCAGAAACACCCTCACAGTCACACTCAGAAATAATGTTTTATCGACTGTCTTGGGCATCCTTTAGTCCAGTCAAGTTGACACACAGGACTAGAAATATACTGCAATTTTGCCTGTGAAACTGCAAATTTTGGCAACCCTAAAATTTCTTTCTTGCCCACATCAGCTGGCACAATGTGACATGCATCCAGTTTTTCCCTGTTCCTCCCCGATGTGCCCTCCACGTCTCCACACCTGCTCCATCCACTCCATCTCTCCCCGCGTCTTTCTTTGTCTTTATATAGGTGCTGGGAGTCCCCACAGAGGATACCTGGCCTGGAGTTTCCAAGCTACCTAACTACAACCCAGGTAATCTTGATTTGAGCTTCCAAAAGCTCTGAGTTACCAGTATGAGAACGCTGGCCACATGAACGAGGTATTTTCCTTTAATTGTTAACAGTGTAGACAGATTTTTTAGACTCTTATATTCCCTGACTTATCTTTTTATGAGGAAAACATTGAAATATTAGTTGAGGTTAGATCAGTTTTCCAACTCTGTAAAACACAAGTAACAAGTGAAATAACAATTGGGAATGACTATTAATGTGGACTCCACATCCATTTCCAAACACCCAGTGGTTTAAGTGGAAAACTCAAAAGAGGGTCTCATTTTTGAGCCCAATGACTATCATTGAGTCTATTTGCTAGATTATTGTACTTCATAAAGTATAAAAAGAAAGCTAGAGGGGAAGTAGAGGCTCCCTGGGCCTAGGACAGGCCAGGTAAGATGTCTCTAGATTATACAAGAATTCATTCACTGTCTCTAGACCTAACACTTTGTCATTTTCTGTCACATATTTGGTCCTCCAAGACTGGCTTCTGGGGGTGGATTTGGAAGTGTTGCAAGTATTCCAAGGAGGATGTTTTTGAGAAATGGTCCCAAGGACATGCCAAAGAGGTCAGATTACCCAGTTGTCACTTCAAGGACTTTGAAACAAAAGAGAGGAGGCAAGCAATGAGCTATAGGATGAAGGACCACATCATGGCCATACCAGAGCTGGACTCTTGAAGGCAGGGTTAAAGGGGAGGTAGATATGTACCATGCGGGAGACCTGGGTTTGATCCCTGGGTTGGGAAGATCCCCTGGAGAAGGTAAAGACTACCCACTCCAATATTCTGGCCTGGAGAATTCCATGAACGGTATAGTCCATGGGGTCACAAAAAGCCCAGACATGACTGAGCGACTTTCAGTTTCACTTTCAGATATGTACATGATTAGGGAGAATATGGCCCAAGTTTGCTTTCCCAGTCTTTATATCCTTCCATTGTCCCATGACTAAAAATGGAATTTCCCCAAATTGTTGTCATTACTAACTTTGGTATGAGGTTATCCTGGAAGGACTTTTATGAGAGTAAGAAATTGTAGGAAAATTTAAAAAGCAATTAAAGTGGAAAACAAAAGACATAGGAGGCTAGGAATTTTCTTTTTTCCTCCAGCATCTAATACTTTCACTCAAACAGCTGTATGTAGGGTTCAGTCATCTTGAACTGACTAGGATTACGGAACACCTACAGCAGCTAAAGACCATCTCTAAAATCATTTCAGTTGCTTTGTGAATGATCTATATGCATTGCTAGATGGGGTTTGGATCATTTACAAATAGTTTGCCGTTTATAATTAGCACTTGAGAAAAATGTCACTCTCTCACCTCAGGGCTTGAAATAATGCCTTTTCCATTTGGTCTGAGACAGAGAGAAAAGAGACCAGGCTCTCATAGAGATGATGGTCCAGCTGACAACAGAGCCTATCTCCAGGTGCTTCAGTTTCTAGGAGAACCTGGGTCTCATCTTTTTCCACCCTGCCTGTACCCCTCCCTACCTTCTCTGCTCTCCAGGTGAAAATGGGACCCCTCAGCTTCCTAACGTAGGTGCAGGCAGAAGTTTAGGGTCACAGATGGGTTGTAGAAAATAATTGGAATGATCTCAAGACAAAGCTGCCACAGTGAACATATGCTATTCCCTCAGTCTTGAAGTATTTGGGTTTCAGGTTGATTCCAGCAATAAACAGTGGTCCTTGGTGAGAACGATAATGAAAGGAGCTTGTCCAAAATGCTTTCCTGCCAGATTCTGTACTAAATAAGATAACTGGGTTCCAATGAACCAGCGAGAAATGTTGCATTTTTCATTTTGTTGTCATTTCAAAGTAATATGCAATTTTTTATTTATGAAGAGAATTCTCCAGGCCCAGCATCAATAGGGTTCATACTTTGCATTGTTTTTCTAGTAAGGATTCAATTTAATTCAAATAAGTCAAAAATTTTTGAGCACCTACTATCTGCCAGGCATTGTGTTTATGCTGGGCTTGCATAGATGAGTTTGGCACATTCCTATATCTCTCAGAGATTGGGTTTGTAGTCACTCAACCGCAGTCTTTCACCAGCTCACCTTATGAGAAGGTGCTCATTTGCAAACCCCACTTCCATGGGCTTGGACAGTGTATAGACCATGGGCCCGGCTAGGCTTACGGAGGGAAGCAAATTGTAACGTTAGTCACAGCCAAGATGAGTAAACTTGAGCTTGTAAATCTTAGAAGTCCAGCATATCCTGAGTGTGGGGTCAGTACTGTTGATAGCTCAATCATAAGGAGTATGTTTTAAAGCGACCACCCACATTTGTGTTCCAGGAACATCCCCTTATGTGAGTTAAGAAGTCCCTTCAAGCCATCCCCCACCTACGCCTATCCACAAGCCATTGCTGCTACTTGCAGGCACTTGAGCTCCAGTGATTAAGGGACCAGAATAGGGGATGGGAGCCAGATCACAGAGAACTCTTAACACCATTCTTGATGAGATTTCCATTCCTTTCCTTTTCATTCCATGGGTCCCCAAACTTTGAATTCAGCAGTACAATCACGCTGAGGGAGCTGGAGAGCTCAGAGCCTAGAGAACCATCCAGTGTCCATTTGTGTCCACTCTGCCATTTCCAGACCTTGTCTGGACTATGTATGAACAACACAGTTTCTGTTTATGCAGGCTTTTTAAAAAACACCTGGTGCTGACCCAGTTGGACAGGTTTCTCTGACCAGTCCCCTCTTTTCTTGGGGTGCTGATGAGCAGGGCTGTCAGTTTTCTCACCATCAACTCAGACTGCCTTGCCAGGTTAAATCTGGCCGAGGAAAGAGAGGCATATAATTTTATACCCTAGTCTTTCTTTCCTTCTTTCTTTCCTTCCTTCTCTCCCCCACCCCCACCCCCCATTTTAAGCAAGCTGGCTGAGAACTCTGTGTCTTCCACTTCAAAGGGCCAGTTGTCTTATTTTGATGTGGGCAGATTGAGAAGTAGGCTTTGAAAAGTAGGCTTTTTTTGTTTAATCTTTTCTCCTGGGATAGCTTTCAGAGCAATATATCCAAGTGTCAGTGAGGGGGTTCTGACGAGCACGGATTCCCAGACTCTCAGCAGGATCATTCTCTAACAGAAATATAAAAGTGAAATATTAAAAACCCTGGAACGTGAACTCCATCTGCAGAGTAGCCAGTCTTGCCTTGCTTGCACCATGGGAAAAAAGATCTCCTTGAAAAAAGAGGGAGGAGAAAAAAAAGTGCTTTGAGTAAGAGGTTTACAGGTTTAGTAGAGCATAGTAACATCCCCTCAAAGAAGTGGGTGTTGCTCCGTGACCCCCCAAAACGCTCCTCCTTTGACTCAGCCGCCAGAACACTCGCCCTCCCCAGCAACACACCCCCTTTTCACATGCTAACCGAGGCGCCTGTGATTGGCTGAACAATAAACTGGTCACACTTGCTAAAGGCCTGCCATCTTGCACACAATCAGCCAAGACACATTAATCAAACTGGCGGGAATAGGGTCTGTGCTGGCCTCCTGCACGGGGGGAGGGGAGAAGTTCCGGGACCCTTAGAGAGAGTCCACAGGAAGCAGTGATAAAGAAGGCATGCTGGAGAAAGTCTAAAAAAGCTTAAAGCCCCAACTGATGCCATGGCTGGGACGCACTGGGTTCTTGACACAGAGGATCGCAGAAGTTTAGCGCAAACCGGATATTGGTCTTGACTGAAGTCTGCCAATGCAACAGTAGTGTGAATTTAAAGGGTGGACCCCTATAGGCATTCTTACAGAGCTTTCTCGGGCCTCTTAGCTTCCTCTCCTGCTCCCAAGAAAATGACCCTCCCCTTTCTAGTCTCAAATACTTTGGGCCCAACTGGACCTGGTAAGAATAAAATGTACGTAAGGGGTAGAGATCCCTGGGTCAGGAAGATCCCTGGAGAAGGAAATGGCAACCCACTCCTATACTATCGCCTCAAGAATCCCACGGACAGAGCCTGGCAGGCTATAGTCCATGGAGTCGCAGAAGTGTCGGACACGACTTAGCAACTGCATGACGACAGCAAGGAACGATGAACCTTTCAGGAATAATTAAGAGAAAGTATTGACTGGCAAAGTATTGGTCCTAAACGAAATATTTGGAAGACATTAAAAAGAGTTAATTTTGAGAGGAAAAAAAAAGTTAACATTTGTACTTTCAGTGGTAATGTCTTCTGACTTTTCCACATTCCCTTTAAAAAGCTCTGCCAATGGCAGTATAGAGTCAATAAGATTATACCTTAAAGACCAGTTTGCTAGAGGCTCACATAAGGCTTTTAAGAGAATCAACTAAATATTTAGACATTTCTTAGGTAAAGTAAACGGAGGCCTTACTCCTCTGGACCTTGTCCAGTCACCATCTCGTTAGATGCAAAGATCCTGTGATAAAGAAAAACTTTTTTTTTCTGCCCACATGATTGCAGCCCAGTTGTGGTTTTTTAATGTGTCATTGATTGTTTCATCCAACTCCTTTTGCTCCCCTGAAAGGGTCTGTCGTGGCTCTGTTTGCTTCCTTAAACACGGTTTTTGAAAGCACTCACGCTGTGTGAGCTCAAATCCTAGCATTAATGTACTGCTGGGTTCATTTCACCACGCTCAAAAGCGCCTAGTTTAAATCCCTCTCAATTCCATTTGAGGCACCAGAAGACTTTATCCTTCTCCACTAATGGTTCCAAGTTTACATCTAGATACTGGGGGTCAAGGACAGGAGAGGATTTAGAAATAACAGTGCATGACATTAGTCAATGCATTTGCCAAATTGGCAATTAGTTCCTGATGTGCGTGCAAAGCATTTTATTCCTGTCTCTTTGATGCCTGTTCCTGTTGAGAAGGGAATAGAATCCACAGAGGCCTTCAAACTTTTAAAGAAATATCTGCTGAAAATCATGCCTGATTTGTGACATGAGCTCAGCTGCAGGGAAGCATCCGGGATTATCCTGGTTCTTTCAGCCCCAGGAAAGAACGCCCCACATGGAAAGACTTTCCACTGGAAGAACT